AAAAAAATCGTTTTTTATTTGTATTTATTTGTTTAAAAAAGTAAGTGTACTTGTTGTGCAGCATGACCTCTGACTTCACAAATCTCCAGATGTTGCTGTGTCAGTCTGAGATGTAGAAACATCTGTGCGGGTGGAGCCAAATTTCACTTTTATTAGGATGCCTCATCAACGAGCTGCACTCAAACACAGGACTGAGACTGACAGTGATGACAGGACCAGAGCAGATGGACTTAAACAGAAAGCAACGCAGAAACTCTTCATTTCTTCACCAGGCTCTTATTCTGAAACTTTAATAGAAACACAGCACATAAGGAAACACCACGTAGACAAAGCACCTGGCCACCTACACATTACACCTACAGGAGGTTTTACACTGATCTCTCTCTTTGCAGCTAAAACAGCTTCCACTATTTTCTAAATGTTGCTAAAGAATTTAATATTTTGTCTGTGAGTTTTTTGCCCATTCATCCAGAAGAGTATTTATGAGGTCACGTACTTTCTGTCTTTACTCCAGTTCATCACAAGGTTTGATGGGACTGAGGTCAGCACTGCAGGAGAACACACATCAATGAAAGCAGAGCTGTGAGGAACAAGAGTCTACTGAAGATGGTCAGACAGACAGAGATGAAGATGACTTCATGGTTTCTTAAAACAAAAAGTCATCATGTAAACAGTTTGTGACATCTACAGCAGCTGCATGATGCTATCATGACAATCAGGAGCAAAATCTCTGAGAAATGTTTTCAGAGTATATTTGAGTCTATGAAATGAAGAACTGGGGCACAAAGAGGGGGTCCACCTCAATACTGGTAAGGTGTTCCTAATAAAGTGGCCGCCTGTGCGCACTTCCATAGTTAAATCAAAAACTTGAACAAATATATGTGGTTATGTTTGTATATATCGTGGCATTCAGTGTCAGTGAAAACATGTGTGACTGGGCTCTTAATTTAAAGAGCTGAGCACTCCTGATACTGTGTGACGTCACAGCAGGATGGATGAGGTCACTGCCTGGATGTAACACCACCTGTGTGAACAAACCTGTAAAAAGTATTTCACAAATACATGTTGTGAAGTTTATATCTGTTAGTGTGACTTTTCCTCTGTGTCACATACAAAACAGCTTCTGCACAAAGGGCAGACATTGAGTCTATGTTACTGACATTTAAAGAGGCTGTTGTTGCACTTAGGTGCCAGTAGATGGCAGCACCACAGCACAGTTTAATCTTGGTACAGTCACACAGCAATATATGAGGTGCCGTAAGGGACATTATTACTGAAACGCTCTCTGTGCCTCTTCTTCTTTCACACCATCCACATCCCTCATGTATTCATGTGTTTCACCTGCAGAGAAAACAGCAGCTCTCAGAGCAAAGTCCTTCACACACCAGCACAGAAGGAAACTAACAGGTGTGAGTTCTGCAAGTTAACAGCTTCAATTTCTGAACAGTTTCCACTTAGACACAATGGAAACATCTCAGTATTAGCACATAGAAGCGTTTCTCTGCAGTTTCTCAGAGGTGACAAACTCACCTGTGACTGTGAGTTTGATGAAGTGACTGATCTCAGTGTGAACTCTCTTTTATCTCCCAGGGTTCCTCACAGCTACGTGACACTTATAAATCTCAGCATCATTAAACGTAACGTTCGTCAGGATCACAGAAACGTCTCCATCCTTCATCTCTGGGTCCCTCAGCTTCACTCTGCCATAAAAAGATGGATGTTGATAGTTTTCATAGGAGCGTTTGTTCCTGTAGAAGTAGACGTAGCCGTCTGTGTTCAGGTCAGGTCTGCTCCACTTCAACACTGAGATTATTTCATCTGTGGAAATCTGACACTGGAGAGTGACGTCATCTCCAAGCTTCACCTGAACATCCTGCTGAAGAGCTGAAGGAAAAACAAGAAGTTACATTTTTAATATTTAACACACCTCAGTGACCTGAACTCACAGGAACATTTAACATAAAGCACATGGTCTCAGGTGTGGAAACCCCAGAAACATTTTTAGACAGTGAAACAAACCTGCTTCTTGTAATCCGCCCACAGTCATGAAGAACAAAATCAAATATAAGTAACGTAGTTAACTAAGCACACTAGTGATTCAGCTTGAAGAACCGCTCATGATAGGAAGTACATTTTTTTTCTGCATGACATCATCATCTCTGTGGAGGAGTTTTGGGCCATTCTTCTTTACCATGTTACTTCATTGGAATGTTTACACATGCTCGGCCACCACAGCGTCTCAGTCTGGTTGGTTTTTCTGTAGATTTGCTCTTCCTGGAAACACAAAAACACTATTTGATATTTGACTCGTGAGTGTTCAGCTCACAGGCAGATGTGGAAATTAAACACAAAGACAAGAATGAATGAATTGATTGCATTTACATAGCGCTTTTCTAGGCACCCAAAGCGCTTTACATTTCCACTATTCATTCACATTCTCACATTCACAAAAACCATGAACCAGGTCGGTTCATGGTTTTTGCTGTAAAATGTTAAAGTGAAATAAAAAATTTGACCATGTAGTTAAACTCATAAGTAAAAAATCTGAATCATATAAAGGTCCGACTTGTCTGTTTGTTCTATTTATTCACGCTTGACATTTTCACTTTTAATTTCTAAAAGACAATAAAACTTAAAAAGAAATTAATCAAAGTCAAGAACAGACAGAAACCCCAGACAGCTCTTGTTATACTTCTGGCTGTAGGAGTCATTTATTCCTTTGTTGATTAGTTTCTGTTGTCACACATTTGGAAACTAGAGGGCGTTTACCTCCTGAGTTACACACAGGGTCAAATAGCAGTGAGAAACTAAGGTGGATGCTGCATCAAATGTAAAGGCAGCTGGAAAAATTGGCTCGGCAGCATCAGCCTGCATTATAGCAGAAACTGAGAGCGCTGATGGAGAGGTGTGAGACAGAGAGACAGGATCAGTAACTGAGGAGGTGATCTATGTTCCTGAAATAACTGCATCATTGGCCACAGAGCATGAGTGAGTCCTCGGACGATGGCATGAAATACTACCTTTAAAGGAAGCAACCTGCAGTTTCTAACACGACATCCCATGGCAAAAGAATACAATCCATTTTCAGAGTCTGTTAGAGGAAGGAACAATTTTCACTGTTAGGATATAATAAGGAAAGAAGGAGGTAGTATTTAGCTAAGTCAACATATTTGGGATTTTCTTCATGTGCATGAAATACAACCAGCACCATGGAGGGAAGCACTGGCAGAATTAAATTAGAGCAAAATGGATCTTGTTTCGGTGGAGCCTGTGAACGCATCATCCAGATGATTAGAAAGGTGCTGCATTCATTTTAAATCAGGAAAGGCGGGATGATGACGGATGAATCAGACACTTTTCAGTGGAAGTCAAACTGAAGTCACCTGGACTGTTGCACACAATGGTGCCAATGATTATTCCTGTCTTTAAAAGGCTGAATGGCTGCTGAAAAGCTCAAACACACACAACAGGTGCCGAGAGGAGACAGGTGGGAGCTAGGGATGGGTATCGTTTAGGTTTTATCCGATACCGGTGCCAAATCAGTACTTTTGAAATGGTGCCGGTGCTTAAACGGTGCTCAAACCGGTGCTTAAAGAATGAAGAACACAAAATTGGTCCAAAAACTTCATGTTCAGCTGGTTTTTTGTAAAAAGATGACAATGTTAGCCTTTTCTGCAGCTATAAGGGATTTATGGCATCACTCTTGGCTGGAAGCAGTGCTTAAACAATGGAAACAACACAAACTTTGTCCAAAAACCTCTCATGTTTAGCTGTTTTCCACTTCCACATCTCAAACAAGAAGACAGGACAGCCGCATGTAACTACGAAGGTTTTTGCTAGTTCACCTTACATGCATTAATGTAATAACGTGGTTAGCCTACTCAACGTAAATTATACACGAACAACATTAAGCTACTCACGCAGAGAAGAACGGCTGCTGCTGCATCATCATCCGTCATCATTTCTGCTACACTGGCAGGGCTAGGGGCCAGGACTCTATTCTTCGGGTTTTTGGGGGATGTTGCTAACTCCGGGTCCGATAACAGGCATCACACCCGCAGTAGATGTGCTTGGTGTGAGGTCTCGCAGCAAGCTATCAAATACGGCGCATTTCTCGGCTTTAAAAAAAACGCTATAGTTTAGTGTTAAAAAAATGCTCACAGACAGCTGCATGCTTGAGCTAAATAGGCTATAGTAGCTCTGTTTCCCTTCCTCTGATGTGTTCTCATGCAATTCCTGCTCTGAAAATTAAAAACGTCCGTGTCTCTGTGTAACTGCTTAAAAGTGATCATCGATTTAATTCAGCTTCTCCATTTTCCATTTAGCTGTTGTACACAGGGTTTAGCACATTAATCGTTTGTATAGGTTTACCCTATATTTTAACAATGTCTCATAATAAGATGACAGATTTTCAAGCAGGTGCCTCTATGCACTTGATTAGTTTAGTTATTTGCATCATGTACTTCATCTCATATGTCATGTTACTACCATCAAGTCTGCATCAAGCTACCATAAGCTTGATGCAGACTACTTTTAGCAATTATGCACCTCACCTCATAACCGACTAAGGTTAACCCTAACCCTAACCCTTCATGATATTGTTATATTGTTAATTTTGCTATTGTAGATTTATATAGCAGAAATAATGTATTAGAGTATTTTATTTATATTTTATTTTGTATCCACCACGGGCTGCAGGTGATCTGCAGTTTCATCCTTTCCCAAGTTGGAGACATTTTCCTTTTGACACACTTTCCTACACTGAGTGACCTCAATATGCCTTATACATCTCTCTATTTCATGTAATATGTGTTTGTGTCAGTTGTTTACTTTGTTTCATCTTAGTCATTCTAGGCATGGTTTTCATTCCACCTATGTTTCATTATTAAAACCAGTTTATAGATGTTATTCTTGCTGTTATCAGTTTGAATAGCCTGCATTACAGTTAAACTGTAGTTTAATTTAGCCTTTTGTTTAAATTAAATCATCTATTCTCTGCTTGGATGGTTAAATGTGATTGACATGACAGTGGCCAATCAGATGAAAGGAAGAAAAAGGGGGTCAAAATTCGTACTTGTAATTTGAAATTTGAGTGCTGAGTTTTACCCACCATGCGACCGACGCACTCCCGTGCTCGCGAGAAACCACGCAGCTATGGAGCCGTCATGCTCTCCTCAAACCTTTGTTCACTCGCATGGTTATAGAGTCACCCTCTTACTTACTTTGTGTTGTTTCGTGCGCAGTATTGCCCTCTGATCCCGTCAATCAGCATTCATCGAGGAGAAGAAAACAGACGCTATATCACCGGCCTGCCCACAAATTTACGTGCCAGGACTTTTCTGCCTATGCTCCCATGAGTCCTTGCTGACGTCAGACTTCGGCGCATTGTTCCCCTCCTCGATGAATGTAGATTTTGGAATCCTGCAATCGAAGGACCAATTTATGTTGGGTTTATCTAGCCACAAACCCCGCTGGAATACAAGACCACTGCATGACAAAACAAGGCAAGACAGAGCTCTTTGTCTTTGTGCCAATCAAAGCTGAGGAAAAGATCCCTTCACCTGTCCTTAGCCAACTTCGACTGATTCCTTCGCTACAGCCCTTTTTATTGTCAGCAAGCAATCATTCATGAATATGCAATTACAAATACATGTGGCATTCTTAAGCAGCATATCTGAACAACAACTACAGTGTCCGTATCCTGTGAGTGTAGGTGCATGTGTGTGTGTTTCCAGCCATACTATACATAGACATATGACCTCTCAATGAACTTAAACTGTATGCAGAGAAGCAGAAGTAAACGTCTTGCTAAACTATAAAAACAAGAACTTGAAATGGGTCATTTAAAGGTGTGAAGTCTTACAGTTTGAGATAACGAACAAGACAGTCTGGTTTATACATATAATGGAAATTATAACGTCCAGGCTGCTTCCACTCATCTCATGGTACACAAGTGTACACAGACTCTTATCAGACCTAATAAGGATAAGATATTTTATCAGCACACAAATGATTATATATCTAAGCATAAATGATTATATGTTTCTAAGCACAAAAGCAAAAAAACCCCAAAAAAAACAAAAACACTTATTGTGTGCAATTGATGTACATATTTTTTTTCAAGTTAATTCAACAGATTATTTTTTTCAGTGTGCCTAAAAATTAAATAAATAATTACTATGATTTGAAATATGATTATGTACAACATCAGCATGCCATATCTTCCCGCAGTGTTGGACTGGAGGTCATCCTGATTAATCTGACGAATAGGGTCATCTGAAAAACTGAGGGAGAAATCAAACATTCAGCAAAGATTAACGGAAGGCACCATAAATTTGATATAAATGATGTTTTGAAATGATGCTTTGAAATATTATGTAAGTAAAAAATTATTATATCCAACATTGTGCTGTGGCCACCAGGAATCTTGGACTTCTTCATCTTCCTTGTAGCGTTCTGGAGGTCATCCTGGTTAGTCTGACGGATGGGGTCAATTGAAAAGCTGAGAGAGAAATCAAACATTCAGCAAAGATTAGCAAATGGCAACAAAAATTTGGTATAAATGATGTATATGCTTTGAAATATTATGTAGGTAAAAAATTATTATATCCAACATTGTGCTGTGGCCACCAGGAATCTTGGACTTCTTCATCTTTCTTGTAGCGTTCTGGAGGTCATCCTGACTAATTGGACGGATGTGGTCAATTGAAAGGCTGAGAGAAAGAAATCAGCAAACAGCAAGTGAACTTCTGAACTCAAATACCAAATCTACATCACTCAGTTCAATCATAAAAACTGCCTCCTCACTGGGAAAGTAACAGGTGTGTCAGATTCACAAGAAAAAGAAAAAAACATTTCAACTAACTGGCAAGTGTGTGCGTGATTTGTCCTAATGAACATGAAAAAGTTAACTAATATCATCAGTTCTGAATGTTTATTTTATTAATAATTGATAATACCTATATGCATTTTAAAATATGAAACGTCCTGTCACTGCACCCACTCTAACTTGGAAATACTAAACACCTACGTGTCAGAATCCATGATTTCTTGGAAACACAGCAGTGCTGCCTCACGACAAATCTCTTTGAGGTCACTTCCTGAGAAACCCTCAGTTTCCCCAGCGATGTGGCTGAAGTTAATCAGTGGATCCACCTACAAATGAGGAATCAATCAACTTCCAAAAATCTGATCAAGCAGTGTGAGCTTGAATTGATTGTCAGAAGAGTGTGACAAAGTGAATTTTACATGACAGCTCCTGTCCTATATTTGAAATAGCTCTGCATAAGTGTAGCAGAAGAATCGGAAGAACTAGTTTAATTTCATTTCCCTCCACCACTGAACTTACACCATCATTTTCTTTTCCTTAATTACTATTATTTCTCTTTCCCTGTTCTTCTCCTTTTTCATAGATGTCTTTTTTCCTTCCTTCGTTATATTCCTCTCCTTTTCCTAGCTTCTTTTTCCAGTATTCTCTCCTTTTTCCTTACCCCTCTCCTCCCTGCTACCCTGTTTTAGTCCTTTTCTTTAGTCTCTTCTCCCTTTCATTATTTCTTTTTCCAATATTTCCCTCTGTATCCCTTTATTTTTCCATTGTTGCTTCCTTAATGCTTCCTTGTTTTCTTCAATTCCCCCTTTCTTTTCCTCCCTTGTATCCCTATAATACCTGATTTTCCATTTCTTGACCCCTTTTCATTTCCCCCTCAATGCCTTATTATTATTATTATTTTTCAATTCAATTCAATTTATTTATACAGTGCCAATTCACAACAGGGAGGAGGAAAACAAGATGAAACACATGCTGTGGAACAGAGCCAGAAACTAATAACAAGTATGATTCAATGCAGAGAGGTCCACGCATAGTGAGTGAAAAAGGTGATTGAAGAAGAAACACTCAATGCATCATGGGGATCCCTGGCAGCCTACGTCTATTGCAGCATAACTAAGGGAGGATTCAAGGACAACTGGTCCAGCCCTAACTATATGCTTTAGCAAAAAGGAAAGTTTTAGACCTAATCTTAAAAGTAGTAGTAGTGTCTCTGTGTCATCTGCATAGCAGATAGGCATATGCTATGCATTCTGATGATACTGCCTAAGGGAAGCATGTACAGTATAATGTAAACAGAATTGGTCCTAGCACTGAACCCTGAGGAACTCCATAATTAACCTCAGTGTGTGAAGAGGACTCTCCATTTGCATGAAAAAAATTGGAGTCTATTAGATAGATATGATACAAACCACTGCAGCGCAGTACCTGTAATACCTACAGCACGTTCTAATACCGAATTTCCCAGAGGAACCCACCCGAGGGATTAATAAAGTTTTATCTTATCTTAATTGCTTTAATAGGATATTATGGTCGACAGAATCGAACGCTGCACTAAGGTCTAGCAGGACAAGCACAGAGATGAGTCCACTGTCAAAAGCCATAAGAAGATCATTTGTAACCTTCACTAAAGCTGTTTCTTTTTCTTCACTCTTACTTCACTCTTTACTGTTTTCTTCAACTTCCTGTGCTAACTGTATTAAAAGAGCAGAAGAAGAACCATGTTGGTAAAATAATGTAAGATCATAAGGATTAATATCTCAGTCACATGACTTTTTCCCTTCTGCTGTGAACCTACCTTCTCATTTTCCAGGATCAGTCTGAGTATCTGCTTGCGCTGCTCAAAGTTCTGCACGAAAAAAAAAAAAACCACACTGTCAGACAATTTCTGTTGCTGTCATTTTAATGATATATCATTAGACAAGCACAAAAGTTCTTGGGAAAAAAATGTAGCAATGCTTTTCTTTGGGTTTGATGTCTTCTCTACCTTATCACTTCTAATGTGGTGATATTATCTGAGTGGTGACAGCTGCCATTCAGGAGAATACTTGAGAGTCCTGCGCTTTAACAGCAGGCAAAAATAGAAATGACTGTGTGATGATGTTGCCATGCCAGGCAAAGCGATCAATTCAGAGGGTACACTGCTGTGTCAGTTTCCATGTTTGTTTGTTTGTTTGTCTTTCTTTCTTTCTTTCTTTCTTTCTTTCTTTCTTTCTTTCTTTCTTTCGTTTTTAAAAAACAGTCAGACTTATTTTGAAAAGGACATACAGGCAGCTTGATGTGGATCTTGGTGGGCATCCTCCTCAAGATGGCAGGGTCTATGTCCTCAGGACGATTGGTGGCTCCCATAATGATCACCTGACAAAGTACACTTTCATCAGCTTTACACACAGAGGCTGAAACCTCTAGGGGCAAACATCTTAAAACTAAGAACAGTATATCGATCATCTGATTGTTTATGTTAGGATTCACATATAGTGCATACATTATGGAGAGAGAAATATGTCTCAAAAGGGTTGAAAATAGGAGTGGGTTTTAAAAAAGAAATAAAATCAATGCCCAATTCTAATCGATTTTAATTTGAATAATCCGATATGCCAGAATCTCATCTTAAAGCTCACAAAACTAACAACCACCAAACAGTTAAAACAGCAAACGATTAAAGAGCAGGTAGTGTAGTAATACAGTAGTAATACAGTAATGTAGTAATACAGTAATACAGTAATACAGTAATGTAGTAATACAGTAGTAATACAGATTCCATATCAGATTCTCAAACAGTGGGTTTTATCAATTTCTGACCAAAATTAACTGAACTAGGAGCAAAAGTAGATCAAAACTATGCTTTACGTTAGACGTAGGCTGCCAGGGATTCCCATGATGCATTCAGTTTTTCCTTTCCAGTCACCTTTCTCACTCACTATGTATTAACAGACCTCTCTGCATTGAATCATATCTGTTATTAACCTCTGTCTCTCTTCCACAG